GAGTCCAAATCTTACAAGAAATGTTATGCCTGTGATCCGATTTTGAGGTTACATTTATTGTGACTTTTATGTCTTAAACAACATAAGTATATCCTTAAGGAAAGATAATCTTGTATTTATTATCCAACGGAACAAGTCCTTAAATGTACCTTTACCAAGAATCTTAGCTTGTAGCATTTTACTTATGTATATAGGTAATGCAAGTTAATCAAAGCAGTTCTTTGTAAAGGGCGAAAGCATAGGGCCATAAAATAACTGAGCGCTGGTGTTAAAGTAGTTTTTCAAACTAGATATTGCGTATATTTGCTTGGAAGTCAAAGCCCATGCTATCATTATTGTAGTAAGTAAAACCTTGTGTTTTTGGATAACCTTCTTAGGGCTCAGAATTCTTGCTCGATATGAATTATCAGATATTATTTTTTCTTTGGATCTACGAAGTAGAAGCGACTAAATATGAATATAAATAAGAATACCTTTAAGATGGTACAGGATGTTTGGGCTAAAATATTGGAGAAAAATAGTGGAGGAAATTAATTGGTACTCCAGAAGTAAAAGGACAGGAAAGATACTATGAACAAGAAAAAATGCGCCTATTAGATGAAAAACAAAGTATACCAGAAAATTAAACGGTGAAAGAGCTTTGATATTTAATATATACTTATCTCCCGAGCTATGTAGAAAAGCTGGTTTTCGAAGATTAGGAGGAAAATTAGATTATGGCAAGCACTATCAGAAACTTTTAGCTCAGACAACTTCTTGAATGGCAAATAAGTTATATGAAAGAATTTATTGGTAGAACTCATAAATTAAGCTGACTATTTGCCTGAAAGGACTATGACTGATACAGAGTTGCAGGTATATGATTATTAATAAGGACACTATAGAAACCCTGAATTCTAGATTTAGGGGTTGCCTGCAACATACAGTAACAAAGGAAGAATTAGAAAATTGCAAAATGTACACACTTCTTCAGCGAGATGCCTTGCTCACGAATGCATATGATATGCCTAAGATACAAAATGAAGGAAGGAATCCAATTCGGAATAATTGTTAATAATAAAGGTAGCGTGATGCATAAGGCATCACGATATATCTGTTAGCAAACAAAGCAAATCTATAAGTCATAGCAGTTTTAAATAAGGAACTCTTATGAATTCGTCTAGTTAGTCGATGAGCAAAGGAAAGAAGAGGAAGATTTCCTTGCTGGTTTTAATGGAGAGTCGATTTACACCAACATTCCTGTAAGTAGAGCGACTCATCCTCTAGAATTAACTTTATACCGAAACCCGGATATTCTGAGAAATACAAATTTAGTTAAGAAGTCAATAATGAGGTTGGCGAATTTAGTGATGAACTGTACATATTTTACCTTCAATAGTGAACTGTACAAACAGACATCAAGCTTAGATATGGGATCATGTTTGTCCTCGATTCTAGCAAATAACTACATGGCTCAATCAGAAAGTCGACTTCTACAAGAAGCACTTTTAGTTCCTAAATTATTGGTTAAGTACATGGATGACTACTTTTCCATATAGCAGCATGGCAAGGAATGCCTAGGAAAATTCCTAGCATCAATGAATGGAATCGATGAAAATATTAAGTTCATGATGGAACTGTAAAAATATGGTCATTTACCTTGTCTAGATGTCATAGTTAACAAAGTGAGAGGCAAACGGGGGAGGAATGGATATAAGAAACCCACAAATGTGGGGTTCGTTTCAATTTTCCTTTCAGGCCATACTTATGGGGTTATCATGGAAGTTATTAAATCCACGGTACTAGGGAGCATATTTTAACAATCGGGAGCAAGAACTGAGGATATAAAAAAAATCAAGTTAAGAATCATTATCCACTAGGATTACTTTAGAGTTGACTGGCGAATAGTATGGAGGAAATAATCTTTTTGGGGCGAGATAGGCATCTGGACCACTCGATTATGATCCTGATGTTACTAACGTTCCAGCTTTCGAAAAAGATAGATGAGTTGATGAGGAAGTGGGATAGCAGGACAATTTATAAAGAGGAATTGATACTTTCCTCAGTAATGTTATATTTTAGGGAACTTATAGGCCCACTTTCCAAATCGGGTTGCTATAAGGTTTTGTGTTTATGTGGCA